TGCATCTAATGGTATGCAGCTTGTCTGGATTGGCCACTTTTTGACCATTCCCTTGTCAGCTGTTTTCAAAATAACAGAAAAGAAACTCGAAAAAAACTACCTCATCCTCCTCCAGCTCTTCAACTGTCGTATGCACAGGGCTTCCGTAACCTATGTAATTCATTCCCGAAGTTCCGACCGCCGTAGCGGCCTCATCAAACATTTTAGAGTAATCAAAATAATCTGAAACCAATAAATAAAATATCAAAAGTCCGCATTACACTCCACAATTCATGTAGATATCATTAGAGGAGAAATTCGACCCAATGTAAATCGACAGAAGTAAGCGCTATCTTTATTTTCAGCATTAAACAGAAGGAACAATGAAGAAAAACAATTTGCAAAAGAAATAACAACGCTTGGCGACCCTACAACTCTATTTGATGATAATGCAGGAGTGCAAACGCTAAGCAAAACAATACTTTGAACATGACAAAATCTGACCCGTAAATTACAGCATGAACAGATAACATAGATAATAACAAATAATTTTCCATATCAAAACACTCTGTCTTTGCATAAGGAGATAGCTATGTACTATTCGAAGGACTTCAACAAACAAATTATACCTACAAAACTCATTCACGAGGCAAGCGCACAGGCAGTTTTCTCTTCAAGATATTTACCACTCGCTGTTTGGGAAAAAGCTGCTCCGACCTCTCCTCAAGCTGTAAAAAGGGATGGCATTTGTACAATACTTAGAGGGCAAATCAGCAAATTCTTACCACTTCCTCAGCAATCACTGGCTTCCTCTCTTCCAACAATATGGGCATATCCTGTCCATCAACATTATGATCATTTTGGTCAAGTTCTTCCTCGAGTAAAGGTACGCCGACAACCTCAGACGAGCCTAGATCCAAGCCTATGTCTGAAGGTACGTAGCGCACAGTCTTCGAGTGATCCGCAGATGTATAGGACACAGGTGATTTCTCGTTTGGTTCTTCACCAACCTATGAGGGAAGAGAATAAGAATCAGAACTTTAAATAATATAGAGAAACACTTTTGAGTTGGTAAAAATCAACAACTCAACATACTTCTTCAAATTCAGGCTCCCCAGTTTCCTCAACAAATTCTCCAACAAATGTGGGTTGTTCGGCTAAGGGTTCGAGTACCATGCCATCTTCGGAGACATGAACAAGCATGTTAGTCATGGGATCGACGAGAATCTGTAAAATACAATATGCCAATATATCATAATAAGAACAAGACAGAATGATCTAAAACAGAGCGAAAAACAGCGCCGCACCTGGTCAGCGTTTCCAAACTCGTTTGCTGTTCCATCTTCCTTTTCAGTCACTAACTCCAAGTCTGCTTCTTTCTCAGCCTTTTCTATTTCCTGAAGAAGCAAATTCATAGAGGTTCATAGACAAGTGGATAGTAAAGTGAAAATTATTGCGCAAAATCAGGATTCTTTGAAAAATCAACGCATAAGCATCAAGAAATGTGAAAAACACAACCTGCGGATCAAATACTGGTTTGAACAAAAGCCCATGCTCTTTTTGTCGATGAAGCATCAGATAGCACCTACGAGTGAACATACGATAGCACCCTGGAAACTTTACAACTTTGGTAACATAATCAACAACAGCCTAATTTTCGTCATAACATGCACCGCGCCTGTTCTCGCCCAAATACGTCCGAATCCGTCCGAACCCGTCCGAATCCGCCCAAATACGTCCGAATC